CGCGGAGAGGCTGGGCCCGTGAGCCATGGCCGCTGAGCCTGCGCGTCCGGAGCCTGTGCTCCGCAACGGGAGAGGCCACGACAGTGAGAGGCCCGCGTACCGCAAAAAAAAAAAAAAAAAAAAACTTAACTGCACGTCAGCATCACCATGACCAGTGAACTATCCTTTCCTACATGACAGTAAGACTCCTTATTTAGCACATTACTTGCCTTATACATCAATCCCACCTAGTATTACTTACAGGCCTGAAAGGGGATATGCTAGGGTCTCACTCAGAGCTGCAGCTCATTAAATATGTGCTGTTTTTCAAATCACCCAACTCATACCCTGGGATTAATTTATTTACCCATAAATAAAGCCACCATATTTTCTGAACCTCAAATTGGGCCATATCATATGGTCTGATATGTATTAGCATACTTCTTAAGAGGAGGCTACTATGAGAAATTGGGACTGCTATGGAAACAGAAAACCAAGTCAGAAATAAAACTCACATCACAGTCCTAATCTTAATTCACATTTCAGAAGTACATATTCCCATTTACTGCAAAAATAGGTCTGCTCCCTTCAATCTTGAACACAAACCACTCCATCAACCTTCTTTCAAACAGGAATACTGATCGCCATACTAGAAGGTAGGATTGTCTTCTAACCTGTAGTGGTGGATAGATTGGTCTGGAAGACTGTGTTTTGAGTCAAGTTTCTCTGCAATCAGGAAAACCAAGAGGTACCTTTTGTTCACACCAAATGTCCCTTGCAGAATTCAGAATGACTTTTGGGTCAGGAAGATTTCCTGGAACAGGCCCCTTTGTCACTGAATGACAACCCGTAATCATCCTAAACTGTATCTATCTCTCTCTGTCTGTCTGTCTGTCTGTCTGTCTGTCTGCCTCTCTCTCTCTCTCTCTATATATATATATATACACACACACACACATATACATATATATATATAAAGAGGGATGTTACACCGTGCATTGTGTCCATGAACACATCACATGTTAACTTAAAAATGTAAACTGAACCGAGGTGTATTTATTTCCCACTTTACCTAGGAATAGCTGCAGTGTTAATGCTGAATCACAATCCTGAAAATCAAAAACAGAGAACACCCTTCCTGATTCTCTTGGGACATGGGGGTACTACTATTTATGATTCCAATGCAATTAAAAATAATTTTCTACTGGTTAAAGTTGACTTTCTAAAAAAATGGGGAGGGCTTCCCTGGTGGCGCAGTGGTTGAGAGTCCACCTGCCAATGCAGGGGACACGGGTTCGTGCCCCAGTCCGGGAAGATCCCACATGCCGCGTTGTGGCTAGGCCCGTGAGCCATGGCCGCTGAGCCTGCGCGTCCGGAGCCTGTGCTCCGCAACGGGAGAGGCCACAACAGTGAGAGGCCCGCGTACCACAAAAAATAAAAATAAATAAAATAAATAAATAAATAAAATAAAAAATGGTGAAAAAGAATATATATATACACATTAACTCAGAGTATTTTCCTTAGATATTTCTTATTCATATATTGGATGCTATTTCAACATATGCTTAATGAAAAGATTTTCACAGAGCTTCAGCTATCCTGCTTAAAACAAATTGGACAAGGAAAGCAGTAGCACTTGTGAAATACTACATGTGTCTAAGCATAAAATGAGTTCCCCAGCACAGGTCAGAACACTGCTTACTGACACTACTGTACTATAGCAAAGCAAGAAATCAAAATGTTTACTTACCAACTTTCACCATGTGGATTCAACTGGAGACTGAGGAGTTATTTTATTAAGCGAATCCCTTCCCTTTAGAAGCTGCTAGAATAAAGAGCTTCAAAATAAACCCGACTCATTCAGTTTAGTTTACATTCTAAAAGCTCAATCTCAAACTCCTGGTTCTGCATTTAACCTAACAGGGAGATTTTAAAACCATTTTGTTGGGGCTTCCCTGGTGGCGCAGTGGTTGAGAGCCCGCCTGCCGATGCAGCGGATGGGGGGGGATCGTGTCCTGGTCCGGGAGGATCCCACATTCCGTGGAGCGGCTGGGCCCGTAAGCCACGGCCGCTGAGCCTGCGCGTACGGAGCCATGGTCGCTGAGCCTGCGCGTACGAAGTCATGGCCGCTGAGCCTGCGCGTACAGAGCCTGTGCGTACAGAGCCTGCGCGTACAGAGCCTGCGCGTACAGAGCCTGCGCTCCGCAACTGGAGAGGCCACAACAGCGAGAGGCCCGCGTACCGCAAATAAATAAATAAATAAATAAAACCATTTTGTTCTTACTACAAGTCTGATATGACTTGAGGGGTACTTAGAAAATATCAAGCTAATCTAGTGTTTCCTTCAACAACACAGAATTTTGGTACTGGAAGGAATCAAGTGATAATGTAGCCCAATCACCTGATTGTACATTTAAAAACAAAAACCTGAGATCACGGAGATGAGATGAGGTGCCCACAGTCAACAAGTCGGCTCTGGACCCCTAGACCAACTGTCACACCTCTGGTATCCACAAGCTCTCTTTTCACAGAAATTCAAAGGAATATTTATCCCTCCTCTCTCCTCCGTAACTGTTAGGTATAGCTGTTTCCTTTTCAAGCATATGCAAAAGAGAACAATGCATCCACTCTTGAAAAGACTCTGATTAGGATGACCCTCAAATACTGTACTTTTGGTAACATTTATTATCATCTGAAAAGCAACTAAATGATCCCAGATCCCAAGAATTCAAATCTGTAAATGGGGTCATTTCTCTTTTATCTTACAGCAAAATGTGTATGGTGGCCTTAAAAAAGACACAGTTTCCTAAATAAGTTACAGATAGCCCCTGGAAGCATAATTCTTAGTATAAAACATTCACAAATGATACTAAAGCACTTTGCCTAGCTGTGACTTGGAAAAATACTACAAACCCACAGCTGCACTGAGGAATCTACCTTCACACATTATCTGTAAGAGAAGTGTTCTATATAGAAGTGTTCCTATACAAGTCTCGAGGGCTTAAATGCTTCCTTCTCAGTGTGAAATCACGATCCAGACATGCTAAAATAAATGCACCTTGCAGGAAAAAACAAACAAACAAACAAACATTTAGTAATAACCTAATAATATTTGGTTTGGAAGCCCTTGCTGTTACTTCTTGACCCTTTTACCCTTAAGAAAACCATGTAAGAGAAAGGAAAACCCCAGAGTCCCCAAATGACTATATTTCCCGGATTCTCAGAAATACCAAATTCTAATACATATCAATAAAATTTCATGTAACTTTTCAGATTTTAAAAGGAGATGTTGTGGAAACAATGAAATACATTTTCCCTTCCTAACATAGCCAAATCACTGCTATTGCTATTACAGAATAGTCAATAAACATCCAATACCAGAGAGCATTTAAACTATATTAAGATATAATCTGACCTAGTTGGGTACAGCAAAAGCTACACAGTACCTTGTCCACAGAGCCAACTTTTTATACCATGACATGCCTGGGATCTTCCCCAAAAAGAAGAAACTGAAGTAATTATTCAGTGACAGGCTATCTTGTATCTGCAAATCAACTTCTTGTAAGGAGCTCAAAATTAAAGAAATTACCCATTACTTTCACAATATCCTAATAAAGCAGATGTAACTCATGGGTTCTAAGTCTCTTTTTCTCCCAGAGGAAGATTAAACAATTTAGACATAGCATCAGAAATTTATACAGAACTCGGCATTTCAGAGGTTTCACATGTTCTCATTTGCCTCCCATAACAACTCTGTGATGTAACAAATGCTTTACGTGCCCTCTTTTTCACTAATGAGGAAACTGGGGTACAGAGATTAACAGTGACTTTCCCAAATGAACGGTGACCAACCCAAATAGTGTTACCCCTAGTCTAATGTTTGTTACATTTTTTGCTCTAAATCCAAAATATATTAAAATGTCACCTTTGAAGTCTTGTTACAGATGGCATTTCCTTGTTCTGTCACTCTCCATTGTCCACTAGAGATCTTTGGTCTGCACTCAATCAATACTCCCCCTACCCCTGGTGGTTTTTCATTCTCCAAAAGGTGTTCTTGACAGGTGTTTCTCTAAAGTGGTGGTGAAGGGGTGAAGAGAAGGGGGTAGCTTTGGTTTTAAACCTAACATTGAATTTACTTTGAATTTTAAATATCATTCAAGGAGAGCTAAGATTTATATTATTATCAAATGATGACCTGGGATTAAAAGGCTTGAGGAAAGCTATTCTAGCCCTTTTCTTTAAAAAAAAAAAAGTTCGCAGTTGTCAGAGTTCATTACGTGCTGAGATACCCTACATAGCATTTTTTCCCCAGACTTCAGAACAACAACTTTATAAAGAAGTTGAAATATTGGAGAATAAGGCCTCTTATGTATTCTGAGTTTGCTGACCTACATCTCATTATGACTTAACAGTGTAAGTTGGATCACTAGCTGTTACCTCACATTCTAGAACATCTTGTCGTGAGTTAAATGCAGTTACATGTGTCACTAATTCCTTTAATAAAAATGATAATGATGGTGATGTGGAAGCCAAATGTTTTGACACAATTCTTTCTTATATCAATTTTAGCAAATAGAATGCTAAATTCTGAGGTGAATCCCCACATTCTGCACTTATGTCGCTACACAAATAAATAAACTTAATAAATCTAGAATTTATGTTGCACATTTAATAGAAAGCTCTTAAGCCATAATCACTGTAGCTGCTGGGCGTCTTAATTCTTCAAGAATTCTTTCAGTGCATGCATTAACTTTGGTTAAATTATTCTGGATTTAAAGGCAGAAGAATATTTAAATAGTATGGTTTCAGAAGCATCATTGTAACAGAGCAATTTCAAAAGATTCAGTTGCTAAATTTGACTTCATAGTCCCTTTGCAGATCAGTTATTTAGATTTAAGAAGAGAAGGGAATCATGTGCTGTTATCTCTGTGGCCATTCTTCTCACACAAAGAAAATGAGAGAACAATAAAATAAGACTAAGAAATCATTCTTCCAATGATTGTCATTGAACTGTTACATTAGTAAACATTCACAGTATGAAGTCTCTCTCAATCTCCAGCATATAAAGTAGTGCAAAGGAAAAGGAAAAAAAAAAAAGAAAGAAAGAAAATTCCAGTTCTGTTATCTGTGAACAAAACTTGTTACATTTTCTCTGATTTCATTTCTTCCATCATTGTTAGGCATTTGCTGTCACATCTCCCCAAAATTAATAATAAAATATAATCAATTTCTAAAGGCCCCTGCAGCCTTTTTAAAAGTTAATTTCCAGTTAAAAATAAACTTTAATTAAATCCAAGATAAAACTGTAACCTATCATCTATTAAATAATCCACTTTCTTTTTTTTCTACATAGTAATTCTTACAATTTTTAAAAAACAACAGCTATGGAATCCAAAGACATGAAATGCTATTAAAGCACTGATAAATGACAGCTGAAATTCATTAGGTCTTACATAGTAAATACTTCAAAATGCCAACTTTTCCCATCACTGCACGATTACTAACAACGTTGACAATTTACTTACACATACACACACGCACGCAGCACTCACACACACACAAACACACACATACACATTCTCTCCACAGAACCATCTTTACTTTTAACACCTCCTCCAGTTAATGTGCAAAATTCTTGCATTCTAATAAAAAATATAAAGATAGATTTGCTCCTATTTAAGCCTCCCTCTTCTCCAAGATGTATCATTTGTTTGATATGTAATACAAGTTTAGTAACAATTATGCCATGTATAACCATTAAATGGCGTACTACTGTATGCATTGGATTCATTTGCATATATCATTTTCATAACTGCACTCTCTATGCATAAATATATTTGGAGATGCTGGGATTGGGGGAGGGGCAGTGGCGGGTGGCGAAGGAGATTCACACGTCGGTCTCCACAGCCTTCGCGTTAGAACAGTTGTTTTTATCTGTCTCACTGTCATCCCCCTTTCCCTGACATTTCTCCTTTGCACACAGAGATTCCTTAACCCCTTCTTCCATCTCTAGATACTCTGACTTGTCCCCCAGGGAAGAAGAAGTAGAGCTCCGAAATTTCTTCAGCAAATTAGAAGGGAGGTACGGGCAACTGACTGCATTCTGTGTCAGCTGTGTCTGTTCCTCATTTTCAGTCTCTCTGTGGTAGAAATAGTTAAAGTTAGAGACAATCACTGGCACTGGCAAAGCAATGGTTAAGACGCCTGCAATGGCACACAGAGACCCTACGATCTTGCCCCCCACAGTGATGGGCTTCATGTCCCCGTAGCCCACAGTTGTCATGGTCACCACGGCCCACCAAAATGCATCTGGGATGCTTTGGAAATGGGTAGTCGGTTCATCCGCCTCTGCGAAATACACAGCACTGGAAAAGAGGATGACCCCAATGAAGAGGAAAAAGATCAGAAGGCCCAGTTCCCGCATGCTGGCTCGGAGGGTGTGGCCCAGGATCTGCAGGCCCTTGGAGTGCCTGGAGAGTTTGAAGATCCGGAATACTCGGACCAGACGGATGATCCTGAGGATGGCGAAGGACATGGCCTGCTGCTGCTGACCGTTGCCACCCCCCTGCTGCTGGGCCAGATCCGTGCCCAGCGTGATGAAGTAAGGCAAAATGGAGACAATGTCAATGATGTTCATGATGTTTTTGAAGAAGAGGGCTTGGCTGGGACAAGCAAAGCAGCGAACCACAAACTCAAAGGAAAACCACACAATACAGACCGTCTCCACAATGAAGAAGGGGTCGTTGAATATCGTGTGCCCTGAGTTCTCTGGGTGGGGGACCGAGGTGTCGTTCAACAACCCACTGTGCCCGCCTGTGCTCAGTGCTGTGATAAGATCCCTGTCGTCCCTAAACTCTGGCAAGGTTTCCAGGCAGAAGATGACGATGGAGATGAGGATGACCAGGACCGAGACGATAGCTATGCCCCTCGCTGGACTGGAGCTCTCTGGATACTCAAAGAGCAGCCAAACCTGCTTTTTAAATTCATTCTCTGGCAAGGCCCTGTCCTCCTCCTCTCTCACAAAGCCCTCATCCTCCCGAAACTTGAGCAGGGCCTCCTCCCCCAACTGGTAGAACTTCACCTCCTCCGTGAAGATATCAAAGGGGACGTTGACGGGCCTCTTCAGGCGGCCCCCTGACTGGTAATAGTATAAGATGGCATCAAAGCTAGGCCTGTTCCTGTCAAAAAAATACTCATTACGCAGAGGGTCGAAATACTGAGTCCTCTTCTCAGGGTCCCCCAGCAAAGTCTCGGGGAACTGGGCCAGGGTTTTCATCTGGGTCTCAAAGCGCAGGCCCGAGACGTTGATCACCACGCGTTCGCAGCAGTCACTGTAGCGGACCGAGCTGTAGCCGCCACCGCCGCCCGCATCGTCCTGGGGCAGCAGGTCGGTGTAGGAACACTCATCGCCGCGGTCATCCTCGCTGTAGCGAAACCTTCCCTCCTCCTCCTCTGCCTCCTCTTCTTCCTCTTCCTCCTCCTCTTCCTCCTCTTCCTCCTCCTCCTCACTCAGATCTCGCAGGATCTTCTCCTCGGAGCCACTGGGCATCAGGTCGGAGCAGTGAGGGAAGCTGCTCTGCCGGTGGTGGACTTTCTTCTTCTCGGGCCGCTGTCGCCTCCTCCTCCTACTTCCCCGGCCGCTCTGAGGGTCTTGGGAGGTGCAGGCCCCACGCAACTGGTGGTGGTGGTGATGGTGGGCACCCCCTCCAGACCCCCCGCTGCCTTCCACAGCAGCTGTGGCCGCGGCCACAGCAGCCGCCGCAGCCGCCCTCGAGTGAGCCAGCCTCTCGCGCTCCCGGGCACGGGCCTGCGCGGCATAACCGTAAGGCATGTGACTGTTGCACCCTGAGCTCTCCGCACTCACCATTGCAACCTCCATGGTGGTGGTTTGGGGGAAATGGCTGGTTCCAGTTGGAGGAGAAGAAGAAGAAGGAGAAAGAAAAATAGGGCAGCTTCTTTTCTCACCAAATTAAGGTAAGTTTGGAACCTTTAAGCAGATTGCTTGGAAGACTAAGGATATTTTCAGTCCAACTTTGCATTTTCTGTTTTTAAATCAGCACACCCCATGCTCTCTCTTCCCAGGGATTCAGTGTTGCTCTCCAGAGCTTGGTTCCTCCAGAGAAACAGCCTGGCACTTTCAAGCCTAAGTCAGAAAATGTTGGGGTCTCCCAAACACTTATATTTTTGGGGGGGATGTTCAAAGTGGGAAATAACGTCTAGAATGTGGTATTGATGCTGCAAGATTTAAAGGCAGCAAGTATCCAACAGCCAGCAGTCGTGCCTAGAAAATGGAATATATTTTTCTGCCATGGAAATTGTCCAGAGCTCAGTCCATCAAATTTAAATAAAATGCAAATAAGCCTTTAAGTCTTAGCACTTGCCTTCTAGTGATGGCTTGACCCATGTTAACATGTGACTTGAAGTATGTCCAGACATTGCCACTCAAAGCCTATCAGGATGATTCTCCAGGCTTTCCCCTTAAATTCATCACTGGCTTCCTGGACCCAGGGGCAATGCCGAGCTAGCTTTAGAGGCAAAGACCTTGGGAGGTAGAGAAGGTGCAAGATGAGGTGTCAGTGGGGGCAAGCCCAGCTCTGAGGTCTCCATAGAAATCAAGGAAATGCACAGCATCCTTCAGCTAAAATCATGCAGAAGAAGCCACTTCACCTGAAAAAGGAGGGGAAACAAGCATAGGAGAAAAATAAAAAGAAGAATCAAATAATAAAGAGCAAACTGAGCGTTTCCTTCACATATACTTTTTTCTCCTGTCCTCAAGCAAGCAAGCCATTATATAAAGCACCAAAGCGACTATAAATTTCCAAGGAGTAGTATGGGGCAGCTTGTTAAATCTCCTTCTCACTAAACATCCTTCTTTCCTTCTTCTTTGGATATATTTCAGCACTGTCTACTTTTGAGGCAACTCAATTATTTTTTCCTCTCTCCACTCTTGACCCATATCGCTCTTCCTTCAATCCACCTTTTCTCTAATGCCAGGTCTTAGTTCTCACTGTCACTCTCTTCATTCCACAATAACAATGCTGTCACTTTACAGCTGCTTCCATCATTCATTGATCTCAAGGCATTTTTTTAAATTTCCACATAAAATATTTCTGAATTTAGTGGCCGTCCACCCCTCTCTGTCTTGATTCAGGATTAGAGAAGTCGGAAAAAACAGTTTTCTTTAATCCAGGTTCCACCACTTAAACAATCTTCAATCACCTCATCTACAAAGTGTAGATAATAATACAACCTCCCCCCATCCCACTTTTGAGAGGATAAATGAGATAACTGATGTTGACAGAACACCACAGTGCCTTGTACATGAGGAATATCAATAAAGGCTGGCGGTTATTAACAACATAATAACATTTTATGGTCAATCTACCCACCCCCAAATGCGCAAGTCCTCATAGCATTGTCTAAGCAGGGGAAGGGCAGAACGTGAGGACATCCAGGACATTTTGAGACTCACCAATGGCCTGTATTATGTTGGCACTCCCTGACTCGCTAAAGCATGTCCCTGTTGTTGTTTTTCTGTTCCCCTGACTCCAGAACACTCCATACTGCCCACAGCCTAGGAGCTTATCCCAGTTTCCATTTCTCTAATAATCACCTTCTCTCCTTGCAGTTCCCCATGTTCACCTCGATGCTTCCTCCTACACTTTGCTCAAGGGACTATCTCCTCATGGCTCAAATCCCAGTTTGTGTGCACTTTGTTTTCAGCCTATGATACTTTCTTCCCTATAATTTAACCATAGTTCCCATCCCCCAAATTCCCCTCTCTTTTCCTTCCCTCCCCCATCTCGCCCCGTTTATTTCCAATCTGCCACTTCCTGATCACATCTTCCTTGCAGCCCTCCTCCGTCCCCACTGTCACTTAGTATTCCTGACCTTTCTTCTTCCTTAGTTTGCTCTCCGTAGGTCCAACTAACTCATCTCCTCTGCCAGGACGTGTAAATGCTCCTGCCCCAATCTTGCTTCTCCTGTCTCCTCTTGCTTCTTCCGTTCACTCTTTCCAACAGGACTTCCAAGAATGCAGAGAGTGGCCGAGAGAACTGGGGAAGATAATGACAGCCAGAATTCAGGGCACCTACCAGCCTCTATTACCGGAAGCACTTGGAGCCATTAGCAGGACCCAGTGCTTGACCACCTGCTGCTCCTTGCTGAATTGTGTCAGCCTAGAAGCCTAAATACACCTGGGTTTTATCAAGTGACAAGCAGGGAAGTGGCAAGCAAAGGTCTTCCCAATCACACATTCTAATGTGATCATACACATTCTCCCAGGGCAAGAGGTGAGCCTGACTGAGGACACAAAACCCAGAAAATACACCTCTGAGGGTTTTTGGAATGACATCCCCTTCCTTTGCCTGACTCCTAACATCATCTCATACTCTGAAATGTTCACTCTCACAAGGTCTCCAAATCTCTGTCTTCACTGTGGAGGGTCAGGCCAACATCCTTTAAAGACTTTCACACAAGCCAAATTGCCTGAGAGTTTGCTCAGTTTCTTCCCCAACCCCTCAAAGCAGTTATAATATACTATTTAAATAAAGCCCCAGTGTAACCAAAGTGCCTGTAAATTTGTATACTACGCACACCCCCTCTCCACCCAACTGACTCCCAGAAGGTCACCAGTTAGAGGGTCTTCTAATTCACAATCAACTCTTCAGGAGAGCTAGACCTGCCCCCTTCACACCAAATAATTTCTTATTTACTTATTTACTTATTCATTTATTTGGGTTTGTTCATTTTGGTTTAACTCCCTCCCCCACTGTACAAAAAGCAAATCACATTCCTTCTAATTTGCTTCCAGTTACCTCACTATCCCTGATCTTGGAAGAAGAGGAGGAGGATATAAAAAGGGAGGGAGAGAGTGAAGAAAAAAAAAAAACAGAGAGAAAAAGAGGAAAAAAATCCAACCAGCAAATCAGACTAGTTTAAAATCTCTCTTCCTTCTCAACTCAAGGTATTCATGTTAGGAGAATCTATTCGAGTCAACTCTAGGGAGACTTTATGGGGGAGACCTTCACAGGGTAATGTCCCTTCCTTTTAAACACCACCAACTAATAGGATTTTGCTGACTACCTATTCCCCAATCCCTGTGCCCCCAAACAAGAGCCAAGCATCCCCCCCCCCCCCCCCCCCCCCCCCCCCCCCCAACAAGGCTGTTTTCATCTCTCAGTGCTAATTCCTGCAACTGTTTTAGGGTGGTACCTGAAGCTTATCAGAGAGAGAAAAGGAGAAAGAGAAGACTGAGAGAGAGAATTCCAAGGGCCAATACCGTGAGAAATATACACTTCAACGCACGCCATTTATACAGTCCCTATGTGTTGCTCAAATGCTCAGAAAATGCACGCAAACCCAAATGTTGGGAGAAGCAGCAATTTAAACCCGTTCACCAGCTGTTCGCAAAGAAACGGAACCAGTGAGTCTGGGATGAGGCAAAACGATGCTAAATCTAAACCCCACCTCGTTGGGAAACGACATCTTTAATCGCGCCCTTGCCTCCAGACCTAGGTTCCCGCTCGGGCACATTAAGCAGGGCGCACGCACCCCATCCCTTGGGTTGGGAAAATAACAACTGTTTGGCCCCCCGGAAAGCCGCACAGCATCTGCACCTCCCTTCTCCCACCTCCTGGTTTATTTTTAACCGCCTTCCATTCATGCCCTTCTGTCACATTCTCGATATTATTTATCCCTCAAATGTCCACTGTTTCTTAACAGCCAAAAGAGTAGAGGAAAGATAAGAGAGGTATCATACTTACCATTCCCAGGCGGGGTGCAAAATAAAAATAAAGAAAATTCCCGGTTGGCTTTTTTCCCCCCTCAAGCTGCAACAGCTGGAGGAGGGGAAGAATGATCTTGGGGGTGGAAGGAATCACTCCGGTGTGGCAGGTGGAGGCTCCAAAATATCCACGGAACAAGTTCTATTGCCTGGCCAGCGGGGGTGCACAGAATCCTCGCTGCTGGAGCCCGGGGGTGGGGATCGGGGCTGCCCCACGGAGGACCCCAAGACTCCTGGTTCCTCGGGAGTTCAGCACAGAAGGGCTCGACGGGGAAAGAAAGTCAAGGTTCCCCAGAAAAAGAAACAAAATCCTAGACAGCAGCGATCACTTGTTAATCCCGAATTCCTCCAATATCCTTCCCTCTCCCTCTCTCGCTGGCTGCAGAAGCAGCACACGCCTCCCCTGGCCGGGAGCGCGCGCCGGCCGGGGGCGGGGCCAGGGCCGTCCGAGGGTGTGGCGTTCACGGCGGTCACCGGGGGCGCCTCCCGGCGCGGCGAGGCGGGCGCAGTCACGACGCCGTGACTGCCGGCCCCCCGGCTGCGGCCCCCCCGACAACGAGGCTCCGGGGAGCCCGTGGGAACCATTCCAGGATCCCCTGGCTTGCGCCCCCAGAGGCGAGGAGCTAATCCCGGAGAGAGAGGTGTCCCCTTTGGAGCTGAAATGGGGTCCCGACGGCAGAGCAGGAACGCCAAGAGACTCTGGAAGGGGTGATTTCGACGGCAGGTCCAGTCTCGACCGCAGGGTGCTTCTGGGCGTCTTCTCCTCTCCCCGACCCGCTTTCTCTGCATCTCCCCCGGCACCCCACCCACCAGCCCCGGCACCATAACGGGTTTGTGGGTTTGGGAGCCCGGGTGCATCTCTGCGAGGCCGCCAGCCCGGAGCTCTCTAGTCGTCTGCTAGCGCGCCCAGGCCCCTCGGCCTCCGCCTCCCTTGTAGAGAGAGAGTTTGCCGGCCTCAAGTCGGGGGTCGGGACTCCCAGGAGAGGAGGAGACCGACTTTACGCAGGTGTCCGACCCCTGGGAGGGAAGGATTACTGAAATTGGAATCGGGCCCAGGCTAAGGGCTGCGCAGGGAGGCTAAGGTCCGAGTTAGGAGAGAGTCGGGGCGCTAGGAGCAGGTTGCAAGTCCGCCCCGGGGGCGGGGGGCTTTGGAAGAGTGGGAGGAGCCCTCGGCGAACCTGTTGCTCCAAAAAGAAATATGATTTGGCAAGAGGTTTGGTTCCCGGGAGGTCTCTAACGTAGTGGTCGGATCTCCAATGCCACCCACCTCCATAAAACAACAAAAACCGCACTTCCCCAAGCCCCACCCCCCCCCCCCCGCGCCGTGGGCAGGCGAGCGCGCTAGCAGCAGCGTCCTCACCCCGGTGGACTCTCGGATTGCTTATTAGCTGGCTGGCGTGTGAAATGCCCCTGGACATCGATGTAAATATGCAATTCTCACAAATATGCCAAAAGAAGTGGGAAGTCAGAATTTACACAGACACAGAGAAAGAGAGAGAGAGCTCAGGTGGCGACGGGGCTCCGGGCACCTCTCCCGGCTCCCTCTCTGATGGGCCAAGCAGGCAGTGGCGGCGTGCGCCCGGACTGCTGGAGCAAACTCGACCTTGGGGGGGGTCAGTTGGCGACAAGGCAGCCACTGTCGTCCTCAGCTGGCAGCTTTGTTCGAGGGCCCTGTTGGGCCTCCTCCTTTTGTGGTGCTCTATTAATTATTAAGAGAAATATTCCCGAGCTGAATTATAGATATGCCCAGTGCTCACTCACCTAACCGCTGCTGGCTTGGCGAAGGACAACAGGAGGGCTGATTTTCGTTCCTGTTTGATTTTTTTTTTGGGGGGGGGGGGGAGGGATCTTTTTAAATAACTAAAAAAATTGCATTGTAATC